CTAAACTAAGAATCGTTGCATTTTCGTTACTTCAGAATGAGCAGTTTATATCTACATGCGGAGTGGGTGGTCTTCATGGAGTTCACTATGTTGCCCCGGCATGTTTCTACAGTAGCCCAGAACGGACAAACCAAACACTGGCTCTAGAGAGGGCCATTTGCATTCTTGCGTCCCACGCTTGGACACATGGGAACAGCTTCAGTTGGCTAAATGCCGCCAAATCCTACACACTGGCCTTTTAAATGAAATCAAAAAACTGAAACAAAACACAATAGACATTGTATTCATTATCAACTCAGTCCATTCCATGTAAATTCTTCTTTTTGGTTCCTCATAGGATACTGACGGCAGTGTACTGCTTATGCCTCGTCTTTTTGCACAAAACTCTGTGTACGGTAACATAACCTTCACCCTCACCTCTCCAAATGGCGTGTAGAACTGCACGACATTGAACTCCTTCTCCGAATTTGAGGCTTTGAGGGAACCTGCTACCGCCAGGACACTGCCACAATGATTCCACTGGATACTGACCACATTCATCAGAGTGTCGATGCACACAGGGTCTGAAGAAAAGAGCAGCAGCATAGCTCATCACCATCGGTAAACAATTCATTGAAGTGTATACACTGCAGTCTTTGAAGGTCTTACTTTCATCATTCTCATAGCGCATGACCTGGCATCGCCCACTGTAAAAACAGATGGCGAGACATGGACAGTCTGGTTCAACGTAACCGCCAGCTCCTGCATACCAGTGGATACCTGCGATACTGATCGCTCCAGTCGCATTGGCGAGACAGCTGATGGTCATTTTTATCTGAAACACAACATCAAATTATTATTTTCTATTATTTTCATGTTAGTAATTGGCAAATGAATGAATACATTTTCCCGATGCAAAGAGAAGCTTTACAAGGGACATTTGTCACATCAGTGTTGATGGTAAAGCAATAATTGTCTGGACTCCACCTCAGGGTAGCCAGGGGGCGCGCATGTTTGAATAAAGTTTTAAAAAAACAGAACTTACTTCTTCTCTTCACAAGTATTGCAAACTAGCTATGTCTAAAATATGCGTGCAGAGTATGTTATGGAAGAGGATGCATTTTACAGTGTTTTGGCTGGCTCGGATATTCAGCTGTATTTATTCGAGACAGTACACAGCTGAGGAAATGCGAAAAGAGAGGCTGAGGCTGCAGCAGGGAGGACATGGCCGGCAGGCACCGTCCAGGGGTCAGAAGCTTGTGCGCAATGCATCCTGGTAAATGTAGGCGCTGCCGGCTCAGCTCTCTGGGTCAATAGTGTGGGAATGTATTGCTTAAATTGACATGTATTTACCATTAACACTGATTGTCAGCCACATAAAGGTGGTGAATTTTCCCTTTAAGCAAGCATTGGAGTTGGTAGTGGTGAGCATGGCTGTCTGGTGCATGTTTTTGATATCACTAGCCTTTCTTTTTCCAAGTCTGACACACAGGGGCTTTACAAAAATTCACATTAACAAGATTATATAATATAGCACCATTTCAAGCCTTAAGCAGGCTAATGATTTGCCAACAATATGCGCTCTGATAATGTATAATAGACTCTTCCTAAAGCTGCTAGTTCCACTAAAATTACATTTCTATTTTACTTAGCCTTCTGCACTCACTATGAAGTTTCCTTGATTGTCATAGATGTGCACTTCCCCGTTGGCCATGCCGAAGAGGAGGATCTTGCTGTCTGGCGACCACGCCACATGAGCAAGCTGATTTCCCTTTAGCTCCTTCCCCCAAATCCGGTTTCCTACAGCAACAAAAAGGGCATTAATCCTACTGTGCATGTTCATACTCAGTATTTGAATAAAGCAATCCTTTATGCTAAATCTTGATGGAAAAATATTGGGATTGATCGCCATTTGTTAGATTTTTAGCAGAAACACTGTAAATGTGTTTTTTTACCATCTACAGATCCAACAATGACTGCTCCATCTTCATACACAATGCAGATCTTCTGACCGTCAGCATTCCAGCTCATGCTCCTCACCACCGACTTGTTCCGGTTGTTGATCATCTCCTCGTACCATGCACCTTCGGAAGGGGGGGAAGACAGACAACTGTGAAAGCCAAATTCATTACAAGACAACTTGTATTTTTGATTTGACGGCAGTAAACACCTTTGTAGAGCATCCATACAATGATGAGTCCATTCTGGTCACTGGTTGTCAGCTTTTCATACTGTTCGTTCCACGTGACCACTTGTACTGCACCTGCAAAGTGTAGTAGTCATGAAGTGTAAGATACTTTTCAAGTGGCCCGCTGCACGTCCCTGCACCACCTAAATATGTACGCTGCCTGTTACTAACATAGTATAGTGATTTGGTAACAGCTGAATTTAACTTACCACTGTGTCCCTCTAGAGTCTGGTTCATTGACAGATTACTGGGTGCAGCAAGACCTTTAAGTTTGGCATCATCTGTTGACAAAGCAGAAAAAGAGATCAGGTTCAGAACCCCAACAATGTCCAAGCAACTCTCAGTGAGGGAATCGTCAATCAACTTTTTGAAAGACCAGCATTGGAGCAGTAGTGTGGAGGTAAAACCAGCACAGAGCTTTCATTGTTTCTTTCACTTTACTGTTGGTGTTTGTTTAGCAACATAATAACATAATACCAGTGGATCTGTCCAACACACGGAGTGGACAAGGTGGTACCATTTCTACTTACAGTGACTGGACACTGAGGCACCAGAACAGAGCCAAAAAGCTTATGAAAGTTTTCAGATTGTTTTCTTACACGCTGTAAGAGCAGTCATTAAAAAAAACCTCAAATCTAAATCATATGGGTACGTGATTAATGGCTTTGACTGTGACAAATAAACTTGACTATTTTCATCAATTATTTTTATTTTCATCGTTTATACATTTATATCATCAAGTCTTACCAACCTTTGAAACTAGAAAGGGATTTCATCTAATGAAATGAGTGACAATACTCCAGTTACTTTAAGTTGGGGTTCCTCTTTTATGCAGCACACCTCTCACAGTTATACGCTGTAAAGCACTTCACATGTCAAGCAGCTTTGCATTGTGTATTGCATGTGTTTAGTATTTTCCTAATATATGGTACAGATTTTCACCATCTATGGTCGTTAGGCCTGGGGTCGCTATAACCAGCCTGTAAATCAGAGGTATTAGGACTGTGCAGGCTCTGAGTTCCATCCCCTGAACTCACCTGTCTGAGTTTCTAGCTTGAGCACTCTGAGGAGACCATCGTCTCCTCCGCAGGCAATGAAGCCTTGATCTTTGTTCCAGGAGACACATTTTAGATGGATATTGTTGGGGATAGCAATCTAAGAAACACAAGTCACATTGTTAACCAACACTCTATGTTTTAACAAACGTATTGATAGTTGAGTTAATGTTAGGTGGCAGCAGCGCAGACCCACCTTCTTGCTGAGGTAGATAAACATGGCGGTAGTGCTAACGTAACAGACCTCTACCAATCCGAAATGAATTGCTTACTGCGTAGGTATACTAGTTAACATAGAAAGACACCAACCACACGTTAATTAGCAAACTAATACTAGAGTGAGCTAACTTTTTCAACCTAGCTATGCTACATCACTCAGCCTCGGTCTGATCGATGTTAGCATACACCGTTAGCTTTGCTAGTAAATTGTCTAACGGGACAGTTAACGTTAACATACCAAGTACCAACGACGGTAACGTTAAATGTAGCCTCTTAAATTAACGCTACGTCTATAGCTGACAACGTAAGCAAATGTATTACAGAAAAACGGTTCAAATACGACGTTTCATTGCTTGTGTTGGAGGACTGCAGTACTCAGAAGTTGTAGCTTCATTCGGTCTCCCGTGGTAACCGTAAACCGGAAAAGGGTTTAGGGTCTTTCTGGTAATTGTAGTTTTTCATGTTCGCTTTCTGGTGATGGGCATTCTTTTGAGGATCCGTCCATTTGGCTGCATCGCTTGTGAGCCGCTAATTTGTTTATTATTTGGGACTTAAATGTTCTGCTACCAGAGGAAAAGCTCTGCACTTTATTTAGCATACTGTAAAACTGCAGTAGGCTCCATACAGTGGTTCTACATGATTGAATGAATGCATGACAAAAGCTTAACCCAGGGGCGTTTCTAGGATTGAAAGACAGGGGGGGGCTTAGCCCCAAGGGGAGTGGCATGTTGGCAATTTCTTTTGGGGCCCATTTGGGGCCGTGGATATCCATTGTTTCAGACAGTTCATAGATTGGTTCAATCAGAAAGAGTGTGATTTTGCTCTGTAGTTTTGCTTGCATTCAGTATATGATAACACAAGAGACAGAATTTCAGGGTCATAGTGAAATTTGACAACACAAATATGAACTTTTCTCAAATAAAGAGAGAGAAATAATTTTCCTGCTTGTAAAGGAAAGACGGATAAACTAGCTCCCAAATCCTAATTCTTAAAGGGACCGCACACAATGGATGGAGAATGGACCTGACAGTGTCAACTTTATATCGTTAAGTATGATGATAGGCTGTTGGATTGTAATTTGAAGGGGGAGAAAACATACAAACCAGAACGCACACACATATGTAGCATGTTAGAGTTATAAATAACTTAAACATGTGAGAAACAATAGTTTAATTTAATGGCATCACCAAAAAAAAAAAAAAAAAAAAATTTTCTTTTTTTTTTATTAAAGCCAAATTATTTGGGGGGACTGAAGAACATTTTAGGGGGGTTTCAGCCCCCCTAAAATAGGCCTAACGACGCCCCTGGCTTAATAAACCAGCATTTAAATACATAAGTGAAAGTATAGTCACTCTCAAGATTTGGTCTGAGATGCTAAAAGTCCTTATCCTGATTGGTAACTAAGCTACAACACACAATACAAGTCAGATATGATCCATTGTTTGAGAATATTTATTTTCCATGCGCAACTATACACCCAATAGAAAATATACAGACAAGTTGTTTTCTATCACAAAAGTACCATCATATGAACAATACTGTCAGTTTACACAAAGATTCCTGCACCACGAATACTCTTTTCAATTGGTTTCACGTGTTCTATTGACAAAGTAGAAAATACAGTACATCTGTGTATTGTATGAAGAAAATGCTGTGCGGTAAAATGTTACTGTTTTAACTGAATGCAAAAACTTGGTGAATCTTGACTTAAAATATCACTATTCAAAACTTGAAAATTTGTATTTAATTGCTAGGACTGCTACCAGATACTTTGGTACAACACTTGCCAAGTGTGCAAAGTATTGACGCCGTCCAATAACTCCCGAAATAGTTTTCCCTCTCTTACTAAAACAATTGTACCTGTCTGTTAAACAAAACAAAACAATTCCTTTTGTGCAATACAGTTGTTGCAATATTTCAGGTATCAAAGAAGGAGATTATAGTAATTCACTGTGATGTTACCATGCCATAGGCCAATTGGATCGGGGTAACAACAATGCTCTTGTTGTAGAAGAGATTAGTTGTTGTGTTACGGTTATGGATGGAAGCTTTGTGTTCAACAAAGAACTCTGACCAATAAATGCTCTTGCATCTTTGAATACACAACAAGGATCTGATACAACTTTTCCACCAAAAACATAAAAAATCAATGAAAGTATACTTTTAACATGTTTATCATAATGTTTGCACTTCTCTATATTCTATAATTTCCCTATATATCTTACACATTTTGAGTCCATACTCAATGGCTTACACTGCCAGGAAGAAATGGAGCTTTTCTTACAAATATACAGGTACACTGTACAGTATATGTAAACGTTTACACCAGTTATACCCGACTTTACTGAAAGAAGCAATAGCATACGGTGTTGTGGATGCAAAATGCTTGTTTATGATATAAAATATTAACACAATCAGTGTACTGCATGAGAAATCAATACCATACAGACCTCTACCAAATCTTAGACATTTTTACTGAAGCACGACGAATCTTGAGGGTTACAGATGACTTCCGCTGGTCAAAAGATGCTCGTCCTGAACATGTCTTCATCGATGTCCTTAATTGTGCTGTTGGCCCTCAATCAGGTTCACTTTGTCTGAAAGTTCATCAAGTGAACAGACTGTCAAGGAAGCCAAATTTATTTTAAAAAATTGTAGTTGTTCATCATCCCACTGAGCATTTCTAAAGATGCAACGCTACAAATCAAAAGACTCAAACTATGGATTCAGATTCCACTTATGCTTAAGAATACTAATGAGAGAAGGCGATTGTAGCAGCAGCCCAATATCTAACAATTTTAGCGGCACAAAGCAGATATTTCTCTTACATAATCACAATTTTAAAAACAAATTCAAACCGCGAATCCTTCCATGTCTCTCAAGCAAAAGGATATGTTTTCTGCTCAGCTCCTGAATGGCTGACTGCACTTTTTTCTGGAACACAATCTGGGCTTCACACATGCAGGCGTCTTGAGTTATTTCACTTCTCATTTCCTCTGACAGAATGAGAAAAAACAACATGGAGAAGGTCAAAGTATTAGAGTGGTGTTTCACCATGTTTGGCGTGGCCTCTTTATAATACTCCATTTGGCTCTGCAGCCCATCATATATTCCTCGATGTCGGTGTTCAGCATGAGAACCTTTTTGGAGTTGACGAAGTCAGATAAAAGTGAGGTGTTGTTTTAAATGGAAACATAAGCATAATGGATATTGATTGAATAATATAGTAGAGATCAGTTCAAATCATGATTTTTTTTTTTTTGTGAGTGAGATTAGGAAATGGGTTGAAGAAAGAGTTTCAATCACTTCAACTAGTTAATCACCACCCGGTAGTGCTCCGTTACTGAGGTCAGGCGTGTATAGCATTAAAGAAGACGCATGTTAATAAACATTTTAGCAATATACTCACGTATACATACAAGAAAAATTACTGAAAAAGACAATCACAACAGACACCAGGCAAATAAATTACAACCAATTTTGTTTGGTCCTTTACTTGGACCAAAGTTCTCGGTGGGCTCCCACCACAACTTCCATTGCAGTCTCTCTTTCCCTAAACCAGCAGCACAGCATACTTGTATGTCCTACAAACTGCCGTTAACGGCTGGATCAGTGGAAGTATTGCTCGTCGTTGGACAGTAGCTTTGGTTGCAGTCAACTGCAAACTTCTCCAAAGCTAAAGAATGCAAAAAGGTAGACATGAAAGGATAACTATCAAGATCAAAGTGTATGCATTGTAACTGAAATAAATCAAAAGTTCCTTGTCAGTGCCATAGGCTTGACCAAGTTCCAACCTACAGCAGTGCACTGAAATTCACATCGGTTAGAGATTGTATATGACTCTGTTTAACAGTACAGGCTGCATTCACAAATTGTCAGCGACTTGTGTAGATTGGTTGACAGACGATTACAGACCTGTGGTCATAGAATCGGGGATCCTTAAACTTCATTCTATTTCATAAAAGCTACAGCGCCACTTTCCCAAAATGACAGAAGGCCAGGGGCCAGTTAATAACTTCTAGGATCCTGAACATTCGGGAATTAGCCTGGATCCCTCTGGGGGGCTATAAAGACAACTTATGTTGGGCACGAACACAGGTGTTTAACTTAGGAGACCAGTGTTCATGTCCCATGTAAAACCAAAAGTCTTCTTTAGGTATTTGAAGTTACAATAATGGACTGTTTTCCGTACTTACAGTATATTACGGTGTTTACGTACGTATTTTGTGCAGACTTACTTTTAGCCAAACCATGATGTTTTTCCTAACCCTAACTTTGTAGTTTTGTTGCCTAAACCTAAACCTAATATTCACAGAGCATATTCCATTTTACAGATTGGTCTTTTCAGCATGGAAGAAGTATCGCCATTGCTTACCCTAGGCTGCTGAACATGTCATGGTGCCAGTAATATGGTGGATGCCAAAGTAAATTTCAGTACTACTTTGCATGGGAAAATTAGTCAAGCCTATATACCTTTTAAGAGGGCAAAGCCTGGGTGAAATATGACATAATATGAAATTCATATAATTATCATAACAGATAGCAATTGGAAAACATCTTACTGTCACCTTAATCTTCTTGCATAGTTTAGAATGGCTCTCGTCAAGTCAAGCGCAGGGTCCAGCCCATCTTCGATAAAGCCTCTTTGAGTTTTACAAGGAAAGCGCATTCAAGGAGCCCCTGGTCAGCTGTCAAAACTTGGTTGCTCATACTTTGAGGAGTCCAAACCATGCCACACCTTTCGGTAAATTAGTGCCAGTCTGGCACATTTTCTCAGGCGGAACGAGCCCAACACTAGTTGTAATACACAGCTCACAAGGCAATAATATGACAGGGTTGGGGGACAAATTGAACCTGAGCCTAGAACTGATTAAACATTTGGGGAATCTCTTGAAAGATCTCAACACACAGACACCATTATGTATGTTGGGGGAAAAATCCCAGATCCTTACGTGAGCATGTTTTCTGGTCTGCATTCAACACATATCCCACTCGACACTTGCAGTTGTATAAATCACCGTTGTTGATACAAATCTGCTGGCAGTCATGTCCCTGTGCACATGCATTTGAACCTGCAAAGAGACATTCCCACAATAAACTGACTTGGTCTAAGTAATTCAAGGTCATGGAGCTATTGGTTATCATTACCTTGATATGTATTAGTTTCTAGCACAATACAATAACTTTTTAAACCATCCTGAGGTGCTGCACCAATGTCTAGTTGAAAAGAAAAAGTTTCTTACGTGAGCAGGTCTTCTGATCCATGTTCAACACGTATCCCACTCGACACCTACAGATGTAAGAGTTCCCATTGTTGATGCAAATGTGCTGGCAGTCATGTCCCTGCGCACAAGCATCTGAACCTGAACATGAAAAGAAAAGCTCACATCTCAGCTCCTAGTCACTCATATTCTCCACCCTGAATATCAGCTTCTCCCCTCAGGCAGACGCTTCAGAGTCCCCCAGTGCAGGCTCAACCGCTTTAAGAACTCCTTTGTCCCCTTGTCCATCAAAGCCCTAAATGGCAAGCTAGCCAGAGCTTAACCCCTGTAACACTGATTTTTATTTATTTTTAATATCTTAACTATACACTACTGGTGCGTTGTACAATGGGCAGTGTGAAATGTATTTGTTGGCTGGTGGCAGTCTTTTGCAAGTAATGTAGGTACTGTATGTGCGAGTATGTGGACTGGCGACAGTCTGTGTATGTAATGTATGTATGCAATATGTTATTTGTATTGTTTTTTAACAGCAGACACTGTACATTGTATGTATGTTTCCAAGACAAATTTCCTTCGGGACAATAAAGTCTATCTTATCTTATCTTATCTTAGTCCTATAACATTAAAACAATCCCTTAGATTTTTGCAGAGCCTTTGGTCACAGTTCTCTATAGAAGAAGCCGATGCCTTAGCCACGTGACCAATACATTTTAACATGCACGGTCTCTATATCTCCTGATCATTCACGCTGACCTCAACAATGGAAAACAATATTCGCGAGTATTGATATCTGGTGTGCCCAAAAGACAAATCCCATTTTCTAGAGTCTAGACAATGGCTTCTGCAGTATTAGGTCATGCACCTAAAATAATGGAGACACAGCACCATAACATGCACATCAAATGTATAGGTCAAATTCAAGTTCTTACGTGAGCATGTTTTCTGGTCTGCATTCAATACATATCCGCCATGACATGAGCAAAGGTGAGTATCACCATTTTTGACACAAATGTGTTGGCAGTCATGTCCCTGGGCACATGTATCAAATCCTGAAATGAGAGACTTCCACATCTAACGTATTCCAACACAATCAGTTAATGAATCTTTGGCCTGTTGTGGAGCTAAAGATGGGTCAACAGTATTTAAAAAGAACATGCATGTCAAGTATACAATTACAATTCAGGTTCTTACGTGAGCATGTTGTCTGGTCAGCGTTCAACACATAGCCCTCATGACACATGCAAGAGTAAGAATCGCCATTTTTCACACAAATGTGTTGGCAGTCATCATGTCCCTGGTTACATGCATGTGAACCTGAAAAGAGACTTCCACAGCTAACATCCACAGCAAACTTCCACGGTGAAGCTTTTGATTGGCCAAAATTGATTTTGAAAACATTATGAAGGCCATGGCCAAATGCTTAATGTCTCCTTCTGCATTTATTCAACTATATACAATGATGCCAATAAGGATTGTAGTCAACCACAGATGTACTAGGTGCACTAGGACATGCATATCAAGACAAAAGGTCCAAGTTCTTACGTGAGCATGTTTTCTGGTCTGCATTCAACACATATCCCACTTGACACTTGCAGATGTACGAGTCATCATTGCTGATGCAGATATGTTGGCAGTCATGTCCCTGTGCACATGTATCTGAACCTGAAAAGGGACACTCACACTTGTAACTGACTTGTAGCTGATTAATTGAATGAGAGCCATCAAGAGGCACTTAGCCAGATGTGGAGCTTTCAAAGCTGTTGCTGTCCAAATGAAACTTTTGGAGCGGCAAACACAGATACTTCAAGCATTTTTAGTGAATTAATAAATAACAGACCTTGAGGTATAGATCCAGGACAATGCACCCTGTCATGCATATAAAATGAACAGGTAAAATGTAGGTTCTTACGTGAGCATGTTTTCTGGTCTGCGTTCAACGCATATCCTTCACGACACTTGCAAAGGTATGAATCACCATTTGTGACACAAATATGCTGGCAGTCATGTCCCTGGTCACATGTATCCAAACCTGAGAAGAGACACTTCCACAGCTAACGCTTAGACCGTCATTTTTAAATTCAGTAAAACAGTCACACAACAGTAAGACAATGGACTGCCCATTCTTTCGACGGCCCATATTCTGAAACTCCAATAGTCCAAAAAATGTCCCATTGGACCAAAAGCCCACCAACATCTATTATCCCGAAAATAAACGCCCATTGTTCCTAAGGCCTATTGCTCTGAAAATACACACCCTCCCTGCAACATGGCTAATTATTATGCAAAATAATGTCATTGTACCTTCCCGATTTTTTTTCTAACAGAAATCTCATGTGCAAAAAATGTTGCAACTGGGAAGATCATTCTGCATAATAATTAGCCATGTGCTTGTTGCAGGGAAAGTTTGTATTTTCTTAACAATGGCCTTTAGGAAGAACAAGTGTTTGTTTTCACGTTAACGGGCTGTCCCTGGTACACGGGCTTTCGGAACAATGGCCTGATACCCTAAAACATGCATAACATAAGGTCCAAGTTCTTACGTGAGCACGTTTTTTGGTCGGCATTTAACTTATATCCCACTTGACACTTGCAGATGTACGAGTCATCATTGTTCTCACAAATGTGGTGGCAATCATGTCCATGGGCACATAGATCAGAGCCTGAAAAGAGAGATGTCCACATAACTTAAGGCAGTGGTTCTCAAACTTTTTCTGTCATGCCCCACTTTGGAGGAAGAAAAATGTTCATGCCCCACCACCCCAACAAAATTGTAACAAAATGGTCCATGTTGAACTTTTATTGAAATAACATTTTGTGACTCCTCCGTCTGTGCTTTTTCAAATAATATAATAAAGAAAATTGCAATCACTTTCAAGTAAACCAGATTGCTCCATCAGACAAAAACAAATACAATGTGCAATCACTTTGTTAGAACAATGCAAATAAAGTTCAATCTTTGCAAAAAATAATTAATATTTGGCAGAAAATAGCTTATTGTGGCAGCAATTCACCTGTTTTGCACTGAATATCTTTCTAAGATAATAACAATAAACTGCAACCTGTGAAAAACAAAACAAGTTCAAATATTTGCCAATAAAGAGTTTTACTGCATATCTTTTCAAAACAACAATAACGTGCAACCTGTGCAAAACTAAACAAAATGAGTGCAGATATGTGTGAGCCATATGCTCACACATATCTGCAGGAAGCTGTCCTCACGTCTGTTTAGACCTCCACCTTTATCCAGGCCCAGCTCCACTCACAGCTCAGCCCTGCGTCAAGCTGCGTTACAACCAGCCTCCTCTTCCTTAAGCTCTTTGACCTCATCATCTCATCAGTATCATCCTCATTCTACTTTGAGTTAAAACAAACACGGGGGGGCTGCATGTTTCATCACGTTAGGTTTTTTCCTCCTAGATCGCGATAATGATGAACGTTAACAGTCGATAAAGTTCCGCATGCAGTGGACGTTAACGTAACCCAGCAAGTCTGAACTGTAACGGAACATAACTTAACTTAAACTGTAACGGAGGGAAATGAAGACGCTGTAGACATCTGAACGCTGATTGGCCAAGACTCGACACATCAAAGATGTTCTATTGCGAAGATCACAACATCACATTTTCTCCTCGTGAGAACTCCAATCTGAGAAACAATCTGACCCCCCCCTCCCCAAAAAAACAACCTCTACGGATCTACACGATTCACGTGGATGATATATTTTGATTCAAAACGGCGAATTATTTCGCCGAGAAGCGACAAGTTTGCAGGTATGAATAAAGTTCTTGAAATAAAAAAATTCTGCATTTCCCCCTGCGCCCCACCTGCAATACCGCCGCGCCCCACTAGAGGGTCGCGCCCCACAGTTTGAGAACCACTGACTTAAGGTAACTGACATATCATGACATCAGTCAGGGAGAGATCCTGGACTGTTGGAGCCTCAGTCTGGCCATTACTATGAGGTTACATGCGCCACTCTTATTACTGTATCAATCAGTCTCCCAAGTCTCTGAGTTATTCAAACTGAGCTTAACAATTTGCAGATGTAGGAGTCATCGGTGCTGACACAAATATGTTGGCAGTTGTGTCCTTGGGCACATGTATCTGAACCTGAAAAGAGACACTTCCACATCTAACCAACTAAGTCTACCATCATATGGCGAGCATATCCCAGCAGAGACTTTAATGGCCATTTGCTCGAACTGTGTGCATCAATCCCAGTTTCCTACTTCTATGCTTTTTCAATTCAATTCAACATACGTATACAGCTTCACACTCGGAACAGTTAAAAAATCTAGTACCTTTGCAGCTCTTGCTGTCAAGATAAAGTTTTTAAGCTGTTTTGGCAAACAAAACTGTAGGGATTCTTCAGTACTCCAGGGAATGACTTCCACATTTAATCAAGTATGAACGATAATGAACTCTTTGGGAAACCTGAAACACTGCATCAAGAGATGGACATGAAATCTATCCGTAAGGATTCTTACGTGAGCACGTTTTCTTGTCTGCATTCAACACATATCCCTCGTGACACACACAGAGGTAGGAATCGCCATTTTCCACACAAATATGCTGGCAGTCATGTCCCTGGACACACGTGTCCAAATCTGCAAAGAAACATTTCTGCATGTTAACTGACTGTTGATGAGCACAACAACCATTTGTGGCGGTGCACTACTCAAGGCAACCCCATAACAATAGTCACAAGAGCTGATCTGTTCCTGACCCTGTGCAAATTCAACATGGTCTGAGCACTCACTTCCGACTTCTAAGCATAACCCAAAACCAAGTAGCAAGCACCTAAATTGAAGCAGACGCCAATGTGTAAGTGCCTTACAGTGCAGTTTCTTTAATGGCTGCTATAGTGGCTCCAAGAACACCTCAACAACCCCAAAAGATCGGGAAAACCCCAACGTTGCTGTTGTGACAAGTCAATGCAATGTCAATCTGTGCCAAAATACAAACATAAAGTCTACCTGAAAAGTCCAGGTTCTTGTGTGAGCATGTTTTTTGGTCTGCATTTAACACATATCCCATTCGACATTTGCAGATGTAAGAATCATCAGAGGTGACACAAATATGCTGGCAGTCATGTCCCCGGGAACATGAATCCAAACCTGAAAAGAAAAAACTGCAACATATGACAGGAAGCCCTTATTGTGGAACGTATTGTAGACCCTTTGCTTGGCAATAAATGTTTTTACAGTTCATATAAGCCCACAGTACAAAGAGCCTGACAAGCTCTTGTATGTACAGTATATAGGCGATACATATACTGTAACTTTCTGTCGTGCAAAACACATTGGAACTGGCCAAAAAACAGCCAACAAATCTATGAAAAATGTTCAGGTTCTTACGTGAGCATGTTTTCTTGTCTGCATTCAACAGATATCCCTCACGACATTTGCAGATGTAGGAGTCATCGGTGCTGACACAAATATGTTGGCAGTCGTGTCCTTGGGCACATGTATCTGAACCTGAAAAGAGACACTGAGTCAGTTCCATTTCATACATGTGCACATCACACTTTAAACTACTCTTCTTTGCAGACCAATGCCCTGCAAAATACCCTAATTAAATTTTTACTGACCACTCAGAACAGGTGGCTGTGGAATGGAAGTTTAGTTGACTTTCCAGCAATGAGCTCTAGACGATTGCATACAGCTTAAAGGGAACATGTCAAGTCACCTTTTCAGTGCTTGTGCACATAAAGCTGGGTATCGAGAGTGCCCACCAACCCACAAACGCTAACAAATATTAATTTAGTAATGATTAAATAAGCCTCTGCACTTAACCCACCCTAGTATTATGAGCAGTGGGAAGCTACTATACAGTGCCAAGGGAGCAGATTGGGCAACCCAGTCAGGTTTTTGTGGGCTGTTTAGATCAGAAAACATGTGATTCAACAAGCTATGCTACATAACGGAAAGTTGGCAGCAAACCTGATTCCAGCTTTGAAACTCCCAGGGCAGTTGGGGTAGCTAACCTACTGAACAGTAATATTCAGTCAAGCTTGTGACTTGGAGAGAAGATCTACTTGTCGTCTCTAAGTGGGCATCATTTACTTCTAGAATTTGTGCCTCTCATCGGCCCAGGCCTTCATAATTGTCCCACTCATTTAATTTGTGCTGAATAGTGTCTGTCCTAATCTATTTGGGGCAACCCAAAACATTGGTAACAAGAGATGGTATGCAGTGTGTTCGCAGCACAAAGTGCCAAACTAACTGATGTCCAAAAGGAACTTCAGAGCTTATGAACTTGGAATTCAAAGGTTCTGTCAAAGTTCTTACATTAAATATTTTAAAAGTTAGAAATGTCCACTTATTGTAAGGCTTTTCCACATCCAATTCCAAATCAATGCTACAGCAAGATTCCATGAAAATATCACTTTTAGCCATGTACAACCTTTTTAGTCATTTTAAGATCGTGAAAACACAATGAGATTTTGTCACACTGACACATTGGACAAAGACATTAAAACAAGGATAAAGATACTTACGTGAGCATGTTTTCTTGTCTGGGTTCAAGACATAGCCGTTGCGACACTTGCAGTCGTATGAGTAGCCATTGTTGACACAAATGTGGTGGCAATTGTGTCCCTGATCACATGACTCCAAACCTGAAAAGGAACACTTCAATGTCTGATTGGCTTAGGCCTAGTGAAATCAATCATTTTGTGTTATATTTATGTTAGTAAGTTGTAAGCAACTGTGCAATTGTGTAATTCTACAAAGCCACATGCAGATTAGCTTGCTTGATCTCTGTGCTTGATCTTTATTGATGTTATAGTAAAGTTATTTGTGAAGGAACGAAGAGACGTAGTCACATGCTGTTTATCAAATGTTACATTGACTTTTGAATGTAGGACACCTGAATAACCTGAATAACCTTCCATCTCAATTGTCCAAAAGAATATTCTATGCAAACACAATATCTACTGAGGCAACACTGTTGCAATCGTTGCATGTCGTTGGTAGTGACGTTGAAAACACAGAATTAGTTTGGCTAGAAGTCAGTCATAGTTTTAAGGACAGTGTCGTTAAGTCAACCCCGATCTCATGGGAAGGCGTATAAATCGCACCTAATTTCCACGTGTCATCATTAGGCTTTCCACGTGTCATTTGACACCACGTTGATGTGAAACGGACGTAGTTATGTTTAGGCAACAAAATACACTCAGTTAGGTGTATGAAAAACATAATGGTTGGACTTAAAATAAGTACGTAAAGTAAGTCAAATATGTACGGAATCAATGTGACAGGAAAACACGTCACTAAAATAAAACACAACACTTTTGAACACTGCTTACTGGTGTTCGTCTACCTCCCCACCTGCTAACTATAAGTGGCCTCTCTCACATTTTATACTACATCACTAATTGAGAGTGTAGCATATCCACACGGATGTGCTTACATTGCAGTCAATACAGACCACATGGCACATAAAAAGCAAGAAAGGCGTTCTTGTTTGTAAAATGACTTACAAATTGTCGTGCGGGCTGGTTGAATTCAACACCTGGGGGAGAAGTTTGCATGAATAGCATGGGTAACCTAAGCAGTTACCTTGCTAGACTGGGTGGTACCGAAAGTTTAAAAGAGACATTAAAAAGGTGACATTTTTAACTGTGGTTAGTTACTTTGTGTATTCCTCCTGACGACCACAGCTGCATGCTTGGGTTCAGCAATGGTTAAAGCAGTGGATATGGTTATGTTACGGGTGCAGCTGTTGCTATGGCTATTGTTATAACGTGGCTACACAAGGCCTTTTAGCCGCGGTTTTCAGTCCGACCGACTAATCTGTCTTTAGCTTAGCATTGGTGACGTGAAGCCATGTGACCGTGGTGTAGCTTGTTTTTAACCTAACGGCAGCATTTTACTTCTGGCGCTTGCATTCACGCTTCAAGGGAACCAGTGCGATGCTAACATCAGAGTTAGTCTACAAGAGTGTGTCTTATCTGCAGAACTCAATTGAGACTGCAAAAGAATTAGAAGGGAACACAAAATGATTGCGAAAAAACGCTAAACTTATTCTTATTTTCCCAGTTCTGATATCACCCACATCTATTATAAGCATTAAGTATAAGGATAAGTTTATAGATAAATATTACATTGAGCAGAAAAAATATATCAACACTTCCTGTTATTAGTTGTTTTTTTCCAAATTTGTAAAAGTTCTTCACCCCGTGAAACCACAACTTGTGGTTTTTGCAAGTTGTTCATTTGTACAAATTCAAGAAATCAAATAACTTAAATAACTTAAATAACTTGCGTCGGAGCGAGGCTAGCTGTTTACCCCTGTTTCCAGTATTTATGCAAAGCTAATTTAACCGGTGCTGGCTCCAGCTTCGGACTTGAAAGTGGTATCAATCTTCTCATCTAACTCTGCAAGAGAGCGAATAAGTGAATTAGTGTAGTGGTCTATTTAATAAGCATATTTAACGTTTTATTGAACGTAAGTTTTCTTAGCAATTTCTTGAAAATCGAATGTAATGTTTCCACTCAAATAATTTTAGTCAAGTTGAGCGCCAGCGCAACCTAATTTAGTTGTTACCGTGCAGGATGAATGGCCATTAATGTTTGGTCACACATTGCGTAAGCCCAAATAGTGGGAAGCTTAGCAGAGAGCAGCGCGCTCCATGTGAAAAGTACGGACAGCATCATGTTAGCTTTCAACCATTTTAAAGTGTTCAGGGTTGCAGAATTTGAGTGATCGGAGGATTTGTCCTCTTCTTTAAGGAGGTTAGTATATGACTTACTGTTGTATGCATTAACTACACTGTTTGTCACCATCAACAGTTTGAACAGAATTTTTTGTGGAAAATCCAACAAGTGGCGGTAAATCACTCCGGTTACCTTGCCCTTGGTCTCAAGACTAAAGAAGAGGACCAGTGACTTTAGAATGGAGATTACGTCTATGGTGCTGCCCATATGATCACAGGTTGGAAATTTAAAAGGACGGATCTGACATACCGTTGTTTCCTTTATCGTCATTTTCATTATTTATTCCTTTACCGTCTTTTCTGCCAGCTAGGACTAGTCCATATTCACTGACTCCACCATCTAATGGAATATCTGCACTCCCGTTATCATCATCCTTACCACACAAGGTCTCCCTAAATTTGGAAGTGAGCTTCTCAATGACACCATAGGTCTCCACATAGAAGACGTGGTCGTCGTGTGGGGGGCTGGCCATGAGGCGGAGGGACATCATGTCGGCCCTGTCCACACCCACCGCGTAGATCTCGATCCCAGATGCCCGGGCCGCGGCCGATACGTCCTCCACCTTGTCCTGGGGCCTCCCGTCCGTCACTATGATGGCTATTTTGGCAATGTTCACGGAGCTGGCTCGGGCCCCGGCCTCCGCCGTGAAAGCTTTCTCCATGGCAGTCTTGATGGCCATGCCCGTCATGGTGCCCGAGGCGAGGGGCTCGACGCGGGCCAGCGCCTGCTTCAGGGTGGACTTGGTGAAATAGGTCTTCAGCAGAAACTCCACATGTACTGTGCTGGCGTAATTGACGAGGCCGACCCGCGTGGCGCCCGAGCCGATCTCCAGGCTGTCCACCATGTCTTGCAGGAACTCCTTGGCCTTTTCAAACTCAGCAGGGCGCACACTGCGGGAGCTGTCTATGATGAAGACCAGGTCTATGGGACGATTTCTGCAGTTGGATCTTGTTGCTGTATAAACAACGATAAAAAAAGATCTTAATTACATTCAAGGTTTACATTCTGATGTATTTGTATTGAAGATACAGTAGTAAAACTCCACATGCATTACACATCCCTGCCAACACGTGCTGAACACACACTTACTAACGCAGACACACTTTATGAAACAAACGTAACCAAACACTCAAAGATTTCCTTTTCAACTACATCAGTAGACTGTCATCCTCTTCATCACAAACAAAACGTATGTTTTCAGCCTAATAAATGAGAAACAAACTTTATGAGACAAATATCTTAAGGACATGTGATGTGACCCTTTGAACATTTGCCAAAAAGACCGCCCAAAACTCCACTTCTGTCTTGTGGGAGTCAAATTAACGCATGATAGTTATGGCTAACATTAAGTACCTGCGTCAGCTCCGATGGATGCAGCAGGGCTGCTGGAGGCAGGCTGCCAGGAGGACGCTTTGTGTTGCAGCTGTGAGAGCGGCTGGCTTTTCTTTGGCGGCTGGTGATGGGAGGACTGGTAGCGATAAAACCCGGCATTAGTGCCACCAGCTTTGAAAAGGGAGGTGGGGAGAGGCAGAGGGGAAAGCATTAGGAGCAGTAGTTACTTTGGTTTAATGATGGGCATGCACAATGATTGATAACAGTTTTTCAATGCGAATATCACAGAAGGGAAAAGAGTTGCGCTCTATGCTGTTTGGGCTGTGATATTTATAGTTTTTCAGATGATTTTTCAAATTTACTTTCTGCAAGACTGAACAAAAATGTATAATTCATCTATCTAATTGTTGCCCATTTTTTTACATCCATCTATTGTGTAAAACAAGACATGCAATTTTTATTGAAGGTAAAAATATATTTTGATCTTTATTATTTACTATTAACTAAATCATATTTTATTTTGAGCCTCTTAAACTTTTAACAAAATAATGCATATCACTGTAGCTAAAATCCCTCAGACATGGTCTGTCACCAAAATGATTCTTATTTTATATATATGAGAATAAGAATAATAGAAAACAAAATATATATACATATTTCGAAAAGCACTTTCTGTGTTTTTTCATGGAATGTATTAGTAACACAATACAAACTGGGGCTACACAAAATCATGCAAATCCCTGGGATTATTAGTCAGTTAAAATATGCAAAATAATTATTATTATACAGTAGTAATAATAACAATAGCTGTAGTCAAATGTATGTAAACGTTTTGCACCAAACTTGGACAAAATTGCCTGAATCATGACAAACGCATGGGAAACAAATGAGAAAGTTATTGCACGTGGATGAACATTGACAATGAACTAATAGGACACATAACATCTGCAGGTCCAACCAACCTCCGTTGTCAGCCCTCCGTCTCTCCTGCGCCTGGTGGAGCGGGCTGTGCTGCCGGGAGCCCCTGGTCGTGGAACCACCCGGCTGGACCTCTTTAAAAGTTCCAGCACTCGGTGCTTCGTCAGAGCTTTGCTCAATGAATTTGATCTCCTCAAAGCGTTGACGGACCCGCGGAGCGATTTGCGAGGACACTCGCGGGATTACCGGACGGATTGAGTGGATCTGCCGGTTGCGGGACCCGAGCTGCGGGGAAGTCGCCAGAGTTCCCGCCACCAGGATGCCAATGAGACCGAGCAGTCCCCACGTTACTGAGTTCATGTTGCCCGCGCTCATAGTGGAGTTCCGTCCGTCCGTCTGGAGGTCCACTTCCACAGCTGACTGTGTCCTATTTATAGGGTCTCGTTCACTTGCCCACAAGGCGTGGGGAACAAAGAGCCCACAGACGTTTAGGGGGAAGTGAAGGAAGGAGTGGACAAGTGAGGGTGCTTTTAGTGATTCTGCACTAGAATAAAAAAAGTTCTTAATTTAAGGACTTTGTAGAATGTTACAAAGTCTGAGACAAAAATAATATATGTATAATTACCATAACTATATAGTATATACATATGTTTTCATTTAAATAATTATATATATATATATATATACATTTTTGTACTGTGGTGTTAGGTTACTGTAGTAAAAGATTTGAGTAGCCTACTTTGTCTTTCACTGGCTAAAATCATTAATCCTGAGATGATATCACTGTTAATGTTAATAGTTGTAGTAGTTTAAATTTGAATTGAATTTGAAAGCAAACTCCAAATGTCCAACTACAGCATAGCCTCTGATGTTGTATCTTGTTGTACAATTCAGACCTCTACTAACATAAAAAGCAGAAACCATGAAGAAATGGCCTTTGAGCATCATTCTGACCAGGGAGACAAAGCTGTAGATCAGAGGTAGCCAACACGGTGCCCGCGGGCACCCTGTCGCACGCAGGGACCACGTGAGTCGCCCGCAAGGCATGTTCTAAAAATAGCACCATGGAGCTCCGTCTAAAATTGTAGTTGCTGTTCTTTTTTAATCAAAAACGCTTGCATTATTGTAGATTTTAAAATGACAATATTTCTTGTCATAAGATAGTTGGGTACCCGGAGGCGCACGGCGGACAGCCAGGACGAGGCCGCCGTACCGCACTGGGTTTTCAGGTTCCGAATGGCGGGCGCTTCCCGTTGGCGCCAGACGCCAGCGCCAGACGCGCGCCTCGGAGGGTTGGATCCCCCGCTCGGCTATAGACGAGACTTTTTACTAGTTTCTTCGTGGAGAAAAAGGTACCGTTGGAAAAGCTGGTGTCGGTGATAACAGACGGGGCTCCCGCGATGACGGGCCGGTATGCAGGCTTCATTGCCCAATGCAAAGGTGACCCAGACTTCTCAAAATTTCTACATTACCACTGGATCATTCACCAGCAGGCGCTATGTGCAAAAGTAACCGGCTTTGATCATGTGATGATACAAATATATCAGAGATGTGATACCTCTGACTTTCAAATGTTGAAACAGATTAACAGAAATAAAAGTTGCATGTTTAAATATGTATGTGTAGCTATACCATCATTGTTGTGGAAATCATTATTAATAATTAGTGAGGAATAATTAACTGACATGTGATCAAACAGTCTCTTCACATATATTATTATTATTATGGTGATCTGTGCAACTTTGTTATTCAGGAAGTTTGCATCAAACAAGTAGCCCTTTGTACTACTCGGTACCCTTGAAGTAGCTCTCAGTTTAAAAAAGGTTGGTGACCCCTGCTGTAGATGTTCAAAGTTCCTCTTTTCTGAGCACCTTTAGGACTTTATGTCCAACAATGACCTGTTTATATGGGCCTGACTAGATCTACAAAATATAGTATTATTTCCATATTACTGTTGCTATGGAACAAATTACAATGATGGTATCACTCACCGTTAACTAAAACACACACCTTTCCTTTTTGAGGCACAAGATACTTAGAGGGCATAGTCTATGTAGCAAGTTGCCCTCTTGTGGAGTCTTTAGCAAACTGCGCCACAGCTATTCTATTTTGGGGTCATTGACCTAAATAAAAGGAGGCATTTCCTGATTCAAAATGTTGGAAAGACTGTACTTTTCCAACAGAACCAAGCTTAGAGGCTGTCCTGACTTCATCGTAAATGGGTAAAAAAAAAAAAAAATATGGAAGAATTGAAATACTTGTGTATCACTCATGAAACAACTCTTGATTTCGAAAAAGCATATTAAAAAGCTGGGTGAGAAGCGTTTGTCATACTGTGTGACAGACAAGTTGGTCTCAGGCAGGTCAAACGGCCTGACGTCATTTAAAAATGCTCTTAAAATTAATTTTAAAAAGAGCATGACGCCTACGATCACCACTGAAGTATACTCACCAGAGAAGAAGTTACATTTTGAACATTTTATTGTGAACTCTTTTTAAATATTCAAGATCATTCATAATGCTGCTCCCCCTCCCCTTTGTTACATGTTTAATTTTTTTTCTACCTACCTGCCAAGGGGACTACGGGCGGAAAATAGGAATTTGTCAAAACCTGGTACATTAAATTTGCTTATTTTACATGAGTTTATTTCCGCATCATCCCTATTCAAATAAGCAAACATAACACACCAGCCAAATACAGACACATGTCTTGTCCAAACTCTCATCCAGATAAGAAATCGTACACACATTATTTATAACCGAATGAATTCTCTGTAACTAATTCAAATCACTCTTACTGAGTAAGTGTCAGCGGTTGTTTTGCATCAGGTGTCAGATTACATCTGACAATGCAAATGATCCAGTCCGACTTCCCACAAGGTGCAGATATACGTAGCTGTTGTCCAGGAACCAGTCCGTACTAGAGAGGGGAGCAAATGCGTGCATGTGTTTTCCCCCCTTGTGTATCCACAATGCTCTTGTTATTATGGGTCTCTGTGAGTATCATGGCTGTATTTTGCCCTTGTTTGGTAGAGAATGTTTCTCTACACGCATACTCTCCTGGGGACATCATCATTGGAGGAGTTTTCCCTATTCACGGAGAAATCAATCGCAGCACAGTGTCCGGACAACTCTCCTGTAGTGGGTAAGTATGCTCTCATCGAAATCAATCCATTTTACAAGACTATAAGACAAAGTAATCATTTCGGAAATTCCATCCGTCCTCTGTCAATTTTTGCAGCTATGACATCCAAAAGTTCCTTCGCACTCAAGTGATGATACACGCCATCAGAGAAATAAACCAGCGCACGCCGAGGGTTCTACCCAACTTCACCATAGGTTATGACATCTATGACACGTGTGGAGACATCAGCCTCGCCATCAGAGCTACGCTCCAGTTGCTGAGGCGCCAGTCAGAACCTCAGAGCTGTTTAGTACCTACACGCTTTCATTCTGCTCTAACCGAACCCGAAACGAAGGCAGTGATTGGGGAATATTCTTCTGAAGGGTCAATAGCTGTTGCACGAGTTGTTGCTCTGTCATCCGTTACCCAGGTTTGTCTTCTCTGTACCTGATGGTGTCATATTAACTACAGTTAGAAATGCAAAAGATTTGGGATGCCTTTGCGTCGTTTGAGATTAATGATGAGATTATGAAGATTCCATAACATATAATGCAATAGTAGTAATAAATATAATCCTTCGTCTTTCGGTTTAAATTCGTCACTGTTGCAAACAGCATGCAGAACAAATTCTACATGATGTTTTCCTGTTTGTTACAGATTGGCTATGCTGCGACTTGCCAGCTGCTTAGCAGGAAGTTGAAGTTCCCCACTTTTCTGCGAACGATACCCAGTGATGAACATCAGACAAAGGCCATTGCTAAGCTGGTTTCCAAGTTCAATTGGAAGTCAGTGGCCATTGTAGCAAGTGATGATATGTACGGGAAGTATGGCAGTGAGAACCTCGAGGACCTTTTAAGTAAAATGAAGGATATCTGCAACGAATTCATCTTCGTCCTGCCAGGTAACTTTTCCCACAACAATTCCCATAACCACACCTGCCTGGCTGATCTGATGAGCAAAATCAACAAGTCCTCCGCTGAGGCCGTAATTTTGTTCACCAAGGAATCTAATGCTGCAGTCATTATGGAAGCAGCTATCGAACGCAGCCTCAACAGAACGTGGATTGCAACTGATACGTGGTCCACCTCTATGAAGGTGTCTGCACTGCCAGGCATTGAGATGGCTGGGGAGGTTTTCGGGTTTGTCTCCAAGAGGAACGAGGTGCCTGATTTTAAAGACTATGTCATCTCAATGTTCAACGGGACCACCAACGGCCTTCTAGAGGATTACCTGGCTCATTTTCCACTTTGTTTTGATCAGTCTGAGGAGAACGGTGAAAGTAACTGCTCGCTAACAAACAACCAAACAGCCAAGCAATGTCTGGACCCAAGCAGCTTGGCCAATTACATTGACCAGGATATCTCATATAATATCTACTTGGCTGTTCAGGTCATTGCTGAGGGTCTTAGGAGCTTGCTAAAGTGTGACAACCATCACTGTGAACACAGCACCGAATTTACAGCCCAGGAGGTACAGTAAAGTAATCTTGCATTGCAAATGTATGTGAAATTTTGGAAATATGCTCATTTGCTCTCTTGCAGAGTTTAATGAGAAGATTGTTACCCCTCTCACTGTATGGTAAATACAGTCCAATATTCACTTCGGTGACTGGAGCAAAAGAGTCGGAGCGAAAGTGTCATAACCTGTGTTAACGTTCACTTCTCCCATTGGAGTTACTGGACTCAGGACCTGCCACTGGTTTCCTTAAGCGGCAGGGCAGTGGTAAAACCCATGTCATACAGACACAGGAAGCTGACTCTCAGTGGGCTGTCTCTGGTATAGGACTACAGCCAGCTGCTGGTTAGTGTAGCATGAAGGGTGGAAACAGAGGGGAAACAGCTAGCCTGGCTCTCCCCAAACAGTACCAGCACCTCTAAAGCTTACAAATTAGCAGGTTAAATCATTGGTTAATCCTTTTTTTCAAAAAGGATGGATGCTAGAATGTACCCACCAATGTTTTTTTGTGTGCGAAACTCTTGCGAGGTGGTTAAGGTTAGGATAGGATAGGTTAGGATAGATGAAACACTCAATTTGCGAACGTCTGGCCAGATGGTTAAGGTTGTCTAATCCTCACCGGGGGGTTACTGGAAAAGCAGTGGAAACTTCAACAAGTTAGCCTACTGCTCCTGGCCAAGAATAGTCCTTACACACAACAACCTACACTTAGGATAAACCTAGGGAGAAATAATGTGTTAATTACTGAGCTTTAGAGGTGCTGGTAAAGATGTTGTTATTGTTTAACAGAGCCAGGCTAGCTTTTTCCAGTCCCTATGCTAAGCTAAGTTAACCGGCAGCTGGCCATACAGCCTCATCGTATCGATCTTCTCATCTAAAACTCTGCAAGAAAACAAACAAAAATTGTGTTTCTCATTGTTATTGACTTACTCTGCACAATTCTAAACTCCTAAATGAAATATTTCCTGTTTTAGGATTTGTAATTTTGCTAGTAATAGAGCCAATAACAAGAAACTTCCACTCCATGTTTGTCTCCACAGCTTTTTATGGAAATCAAGAACGTAAACTTCACTGTAAACAAAACACATATATTCTTTGACTCCAATGGAGACCCCGGATTAGGATATGATATTTTGTATTGGAACAAGACTGAATCCAAACAGCACACACAAATAGAAACCATTGGAGAATACCTTCCGTCTGGACAAGTCAAAGTCCCAGATGATCTTGTTAGAAATATGTGCAGTGTGATGGTAAGGTCAGAATCTCATCTGAGATATAGATTTTATTTCTCATAAAATGATGACATGTTGTACTGATTCAGTTTTGTCTTTTCTAAGGTATCGGCTTACAACTGTTCTAAAACATGTAAACGAGGGCAAGAGTTGAAAATGCAAAACAAAAGTTGTTGCAATTATTGTATTCCATGTGCAGATGCAGAGTTCTCTGCTGGAAAGGGTAAGTATCTTCTCCCCATATGAAATATCCACCACCTCAAATAATACACATCCTATCTTCTAAGAGGATCCCTAGTATGGATCCATAAATGAGGATATCATCACATTCACGTAGGGAGAATTAGAAAGGATTGGATCGCTACCTGCTGAATAGTTATGGAAAATTTAAGAATTCTTGATTAAATATTGTTACTATTTATATTCTTAACAATTTTAAAACCTGTTTTGTTAATGCAAAATGTATTATGGTGCACAATTTAAATGTATAGTTGCAGATATAGAACAAAACATCTTATACACAGATATACTGTATATATATTTAAATATATGACAAGCCCCGAGTAAGTGCATTGAACAAATCAATAATGTAAATGATTGTCTTTAAACACACCACTAATGTATGATTTAACCAGACCTGTCATCTGCTCTGCTCTTTTGTAATCTTTAGTTCCTTTGGTATCATTCATTCGTGTTCACTCTCCTCTCTTCTCGTTGCTTTCATTTAGATAACACTTTTCAATGGAATTCTATTCTTCCTGATGAATATGCTAAAAACATTCAAACTTTCCCCACGCTGTTAACTTTTCTGTGTTCCCTCCCCGTAGGCGAGGAGTGTAAACGATGCGGCGCAAAACAGTATTCGTCTCCACAGAGGGAAAGGTGTTTGGAGAAAACTGTCCAATTCCTACATTGGGCGGAACCCTTCGTTATCGTCTTGAGTGCCTTGGGAGTGTTCGGTATAACTGTTACCATTGTGTTTGCTGTTTTGTTCACCGTCTATCGAGGCACTCCCGTTGTGAAGGCCGTTGGAGGCTACTTGTGCCTCTTGGAGCTTTTTTCCTTGCTGGCCTGCTTCTGCCTTTCCTTTAGCTTTGCGGGAAAACCCACCGATGGTTCCTGCATGGTAGGCCTGCCTCTCTTCGGCATCGCTTTCTCCCTCTGCATCTCCTGCATTCTTGCCAACCTGCTCCAGATCTTAGTGGGCTTCAGCTTTCAACTGAACAAAAGGTCCAGGGCGAAGAGGCTCCACCAGCCGGCGGCCGTGGTGACAATCGTCACTGGGATCCAGTTGGCCTTGTGCGTGCCATGGCTTTGCCTTTATCCCCCACACGCCAATGACGAGATATTTAGGGAGAGCATCCTGAAGCAGTGTGAGAAAGGCTCCTATAAGTTCTTTATTGCCATGTTGGCCTACAATGCTTTCTTGGCCCTCATCTGCTTCCTGTTTGCATTCAAAGGCAAACAGTTGCCAGATTTGTATAAGAATGCGAGTTTGATCAGCATCAGCATGCTGCTGTTTTTGATCGTTTGGGTTTTCTTCATCCCCATTTATATCAGTTTGATCGGGAGGTACAAGAGTGCCATCGAGAGCACAGCCATCCTCATTTCCAGCTACAGCATCCTCGGCTGTCACTTGGCCCCGAAGTGTTACATCATGGTGTTCAGGAAAGAGCTGAATAATGAGAGTGCCATCACGGAGTACATCAGGAAGCATTATGAGCAGAAAGGCGTGTCCGTGGTGACATCATAGTGTCACGCGCACAGCCATAAATTCTTTGCGGGTTGCCGGGTAACAATTATATGCACACGTTTTCCCCGTGGTAAAATCATTGCTTGATTGACGTTTCTTTGAAACTTGCAACGAATGAAATATAGCGAGTTAATTTAGCTTTACTTTGGCTTGACAGATTTCTTGTTACCTTTTAATAGAGCCAGGCAAGCCATTTCTCCCGTCTCCAGTCTATGTGCTAAGCTAAGCCTTTGCATGTGTACAATGTCAATAGTGACTTTTTCTGTGTAATCTTTACATTTTTTATCATATTATCTGTCAGATGAGTCGTATATAAGAGAATGTGTAGTGTCTGTGAAGACAGTGTTTCGTAGTGACGGGCTGTGTACTGTGAATAAATAAATAAACTTAAATTTTCTTCTCAGAACTGCACCTCCTTTGTTCCTTGAGAGTTTGTCCTGTATGGATAATTAATCTGCAACAAGATGGGAGACAACACAAAGACACAAACACCTCAATTTACCCAAGTGTCAAATCAATACAGCCTGAAAAAACCCATGTATATAATATATGTAATAAATAAATATAAGCTACATAATGACACATTTTTATCCAATGCTCAAGTTTCTAACTGTAATAATACAGTATTAGCCTTAACATGAATTGTAAAGAAGGCCAACGATTTCATGACGAAGACGTTAACACTAGTTTGGGATGTGATTTCACTGAAAGCCATTCTCTAGATGAAGTGACTCTGGAGCAAAGTTCATTTAGTGTCTTTCAGATTGAGGCACGTTAAACAATCCAGTTGCTCTATAAAGGTCAGGATTGACCTGGGGGGGGGGGGGGTCATTTACATACCAAACCACATCTGATCCAGAGTGCTGTTTGTAAAGGTTTAACTTAGGTGAGTATTCTACGCAGGTATGTAAAAATAAATGACCTTGTGTGTGAAACACAGTTGTGAGTACAGATAACCTAAAAGCTCTTCCTGCTGTGAACACTAGATGGAGCTCTTGAAATGTCCTGTAATTCATGTTCTATGGTCCATATTGCTTTACAAGCAGTAATGTACTGGTTTTTCTTAATTTGGCCCATACGTTAGAAAACACACAACTCCCATTCTTCAGCTCCGCACCTAATGCTTTATTTATTAAAAAAATACAAAACTTCAAAAAAGTTTCCATAGGAAAGCGTTATGACTTTGCGATCCCGTCTCTTTCGTATCCATTTCAGATGTATGGTGTTCACACCTCTTCAATCATATCATGAGCAGACTTCTACACGTTACAAATAAAAAATGAAAAAATAATATTAAGGTGGAGAAGAGGAGAGGAGCAGTCTGCTTCTTGAGTCCCTGCATTGTAAGTATTAATCCTGAAGAGTTATTGTATTGTGGTGGATCCTGTAGTGTCAGGTGACCAGAACAAATGTGGGGATGTTTAGTGTCTACAGCGCTGTCTGATTCATTCAAATGCTGCAGACAAGTGTGTTTCTTGAAATATTGACGTCTTGAGGATTAACACTTGAGAGGTTCTGTACAGAAGTGGAGATCGTGGAAAAGATAAATATAAACATAGCAGCCATGTGTGAGGATGCAAATCACCCCTCCAACCACCTCTTTGTAAGTTAACTAAATAAAGCAACCAAATAAAGCAATGTTGCTACAGTATATTATGCTGGCATTTAAATAATAGCATGAGTCACCTCTTGACTTTTGCTACAGTGACGGGAAACATTGGGGGGGGGGGGAAGAGACTGCAGCAACGAGCTGGAGTACAGAGCTGCTCCGTAATACTCTGTCTGGAACACACAGAGACACTCAGAGTGTGATTCAGCCTCATTGAGTTGAGTTGAACCCCACTTCCATACAGAACACAGAAAGTTGTGCAGCAGCGTGTCCCTCTCATTCTCCTGTCAAGTAACTGGCCTTGAAATGACAACGTACATTAGGGGAGAAAAAAAAGAAAAGATACAGAACGCCTCATCAATAATGTAGAACAAAAGGGTGCTAGGTCTGGAGAACATAGCTGTGATGTACAGTAGGTGTTTAAACCACATGGGCCTGGCAGGGCTTAGTGGGCTGCTCCAAGCTGCTCTCTCGACCGCAGCAGGCTGGCACTTCTAACAGGCAGGACTCCTCCGCAGGAGCTGGCATGCCCTGGGAACAGATCTGCTGCACATGTTGCCTGTAGACGACAACGCACATACAAGTTAGATTGTCTGAAGAAACACTGAAAATCTAAACATGTTCCTCACGATTGATGAAAGTCCGTCGTCTCCTTTATGTGACTTTTTTTTTACATTGCTTGCTTCAGAAGCTGAATGGAATTATCCTGGCTACATTACTGGTGAATGGACTGTACTTGTATGGGGCTTTTCTAGTCCGACCACTCAATGCACTTTAACACTTCATGTCATTAGTCACACACTGATGTATGCTACCATGCGAGGTGCCACCTGCCCATCAGGACTAAGTAACCATTCACAGACATTCACACACCGTAGGCTCAGCTACGGGAGCAACGAGGGGCTAAGTGTCTTGTTAAGAGTCTTGCTCAAGGACACATGGACTCCTCCAATCAGGACACCGATCCTGATTGGAGAAGGACACATGTACTCCTCCAATCAGGACACCGATCCTGATTGGAGGACGACCCTGCTCTACCACTGAGCCACAGTCACCCAATTTAAAAAAAACTAAACTAAACCAAAACATACTCCAGAAAAGTGATCCATTACCAAACTTCCAGCTTTTGTGACGTCTACTCACCAGGCAGTGCGGGACATGACGTAGTGGATGTCGGGTCTCTGGAAGCCGTTGAAGGTGGAGGAGGCGGCCACGGTGTAGGCGCCCATGTTGTCAAAGATCAGCCAGTCGCCCACCTGCAGGTCGGGCAGGTCACACTGCTCAACGATGCGGTCAAGGCCGTCGCATGTCGGGCCCCAGATACTGCAGGGGTACATGCGCTCATCTGGCTTTGGCTTCTATTAGTACAAAGAGAGGGGAGACGCACAAACCGCCAACCTCCGTTTCACCTTCCACTGACCCACGTGTATGACTAGATCTGCCACTTCTTCAATCCTCCACTTTCACTTACCTTAAGTAGTGTTGGCAAACAGTGAGCGTGGTCATAGAGTATACAGTTGAAGGATCCATACACTCCATCGTTGACGTAGTACATCAGAGTCTTATCATTGGTCCCTTCGTCTTCCTCTGAAGAAAGCATAAAATCATTTTTAATACCGACAAATGTTACAAATGTGCTTTCAGAGTAAACTTGTTTTCCTAAATCAAGGCTGTTACCGTCAGAGGCCGACTCGTCGTCCATGATGACCTTCTTGGCAATGATGTTGACAACCAGTGTGTAAGCAGAGGCCACATAAAAGCGCCCTGGCTCAGCGATCACCTTAACACCGCTGTCAGAAGGGAAGTACTTGTCCAGGGCCGGGCTGATTACTGCTGTGATCTAGAAGAAATGATTATTATTAAGAGAATTATAATAAAATGGAATTACCATGAGCTAGTACTACTGATGTTGCAGCTTACTTATCTTGTTTTAAGTCAAAAACAGACATATGTTTAGTCGCACAGGTTAAACATTAGAAAAGCAAGTTACCTCTTCAAATTTGAGTTCAGCTTCGTCTGAACCGGGGAAACCTCCTCCGATGTCCAACAGGTCCATGTTGAAGCCCAGCTCATCCTGAAGTTCACATAAATCAGAGTCTCAGTTAATTTTGCTGCGTGAAAACCCGCATAATGTACATGCATTTCTGTCACAACTCACCCCCAAATCGAAGACGCAGCGGGCATCGGCGATAGCCTGGCGGAAGGTCTCCGGGTCGGTGCAGCCACTGCCGACGTGGAAGCTGACGCCGATCACTTCCAGCCCCAGCTCCTTAGCACGCTCCAGAAGCCCACGGCAAGCTTTGAGTGGGGCCCCAAACTTCACACTCAGGCGACACACTGCCTTTGAGTCATCTGTGGCAATACGCAGCACCAGTCTGGGCACAAAGCAGGAACAAGAGTTAGTGGGGAAGGAAGAGGGCAGATACATTAAATATAAACTAAAGTCTTCATATTATGGTAAAAATGTCTCACTTGGCATTATCATGACAGCGGGCCACTTTCATGAGTTCCACCTCGCTATCAAAGGTCATCATCTGGACCCCATGGGCAGACGCATACTTGATCTGAGAAGCTTGCTTGCAGGGGTTGGCATAGATGATTCTGCCTGGAGCCACTCCCAGAGACTGAACCATGTGGATCTCCATCTAGAGGTGGAGGGGGTACAATGCAGACAGTCAGCAAATTTAAAAACACGAGCTGCCGCACAGCTTTTGTGCGGCATTATTCTCAGAACGTCTAGTGCCACGGGACGGTTCCAACACGCACCTTGCTTGCACAGTCAAAGCCGGCTCCCAGGGACGCCAGGGTCATGACCACGGCCCGGCTGTCGTTGCATTTGACGGCATAGAAAGGAGTGACGTGAGGCAGGGCCCTCACCCAGCGCAGGTGTTTCTTTAGCACATCTCCCAGGTCACAGACGTAGAAGGCGTCCCGGTCATCCTGTGGGGAAAAATAAGGAGGTGCAGGTGCGTTTAACAAAAACATCCTCCATCATCCACGATACACTGCAAACAATAAACACCATGTGTGTAATACACAAAAAAAAAAAAAAAAAAAAAAAAAACACAATTATTTGCACCACCATGGTCTGAAGAGTTAAGTAAAGGACATACAGTTCGCTCGATGCAATACCAGTAACCTGAACACAGGTGTAGGATGTCAGGCGCATCCTGTTGACATTCAGCACCCAACCCAGCAGGGCTATTCTGTGTACCCACTAAACAATGTCGGCACAGGACGCTCACCGTCATGGATGACTCGTTGATCGTCTGCTCAACAATGTCCCGGGCGGAGAAGCCCTCTTCCAAGAAAGAGAAGTCAAACTCGGTGGGAGTGGCAGTATTCATGGTCACAAGAAGTCCTCTCGATTGGTCACCAGTAAACTGAGAGAGGACACATCCACATTACATTCAGCGGCTCTTGTGTCCTTGATTACCATTTTTAATCCCAACTCATGGGAACGTCTAAGATAAACAAGTGTGAGTAATTTCTCACAAACACATCACTTGATTGAATTGATAATTTTGTAGCAGTGTTATCTGCCAAAGATGACTACGCAGTGTTGAAATCAAGCTGAGACACTTACTTGGATAGGAAAGAGATGGAATTTAGTGTCGCTGTTTTCTCAGGTGCAGAGAAGCCAAGGCGGCTCACCAGTGAAGTTAAATCCCTTCAAATATGACTCAAGGCCCGGGCCTGCTGAGTAGGCAGTGTGCGTCTTCCTAGACTGATGATTCTGTAAACGAGCACAGATGAATCGCTGAAAAGGACCAAGTGTTTAAACCCCGCCCAGCGCAGACTTAATCCAATCACAAAGACGATCCGCCTTTAACATCAAAAGTGTGGCACAAAAATGAACCAGTCGGCTACGGATATACGAGGTCAACGTCATTATGCCGGTTCCGTTTAGAGCCTTTCTTGCCATGAGGCGATTCAGCATTTGAAGTTACTTGTAGTGTGGTTTAGCAGAGTTAACGCAGCCAATTGAAAAAATAAAATAACTTGTTGAGCATAGCGCAAACACACCCAGGTCTGTGGCTCTGTGAAGTAGACATTACAGGCTAACGTTGTGCCGGTTGGTTATCGTGGTTTTAAAAAGAAATTAATTATCGCTAGATAACGTTAGCTAACCAGCCCACTGTTCGACCGGACACGTCGTATTGGTAATTAACGTACACACTTAAGAGATACTCAATTTTGAATTAAAATGACGTAAAAGCAACAACAGCAACCACTATTTCATTGTCCTTCTTAAGCCGCCGTAACAGATTCAGCCAGCTAATTACCGTTTACTGACGCTTAAACGCATGTAAGATCAAAAACAAAACGTGACCCTGCTAGTAGCGTTAGTAAGACATTTTAAATCCTTAACTCACCTTAAAAAGCATTTACGAAGAGTGTGTCCATTAGACCAGAATGCTGGGATAAAAAAAGTAAAGCTGGCGTGTCGCTTCCGTCGAGACTGAGCTGGTGTGCAAGCCGGCAAAAAGGATCCCACAGTATTTATAGAGAGCTCGTTGCTACGGCAACGCAGCCAGCTGAAACCGGCCTCCCATCCACGTATGAACCGGTTTAGGCTCGTCACCTCGACCACATGGTGGTGGGACGGACGGACGGGACAACTTTACTGCGCACACACATGATCTCTTAAGATAACTGTTCAAACGGACCTTGAATCCACGGTAAAGGCGTCTCACTACTATTGTGGTGTAGACAGGGCCCATAGATTAACTAGTTAGCACTCACAAGACTGTCTGGCCCCAGCTAGTAACAGACTTCTCATGTAAAAACGTTGCCTGTAAGTTACTAAAAGCCTTTTTTGATGTTCATTTGTTCATTGAAGCTTGCATCTTTGACTTTGTGCTGCCAGACTGCTACCTCAGAAGCACTTTTATGCTCAGTCTGGCTGGTGATGATGACAATGATCATCAGTACAGCCCCCCCCCCCCCCCTCCTCCTCCTCCATGGCCAGCTGTGATGGAAGAAGCCTGCCCTGCCTTACTGTTGATCCCAGTGGTGCTCACTCACGCTGTCTGGTTTGGACTGACCTGTCTCTCGATGGCAGTCTGCTCAGTCCCAAACTGAGTTTCTTGACCTGCTTACTGGGATTAAAGGAGATCACGAGTTGACTCAGAGATGGCAAAGGTGTCAACACAGGCACAACTGCTCTGTACAGCCAAGTGCTTCACATGTAGATGTAGAATTAATGTTTTTTTTAAATTATATCTATCCTTGTCCAGGTTTTTAAAACAAATGTTTGCCATGATTAAAAAAAAACATATGCCTCTGTAAGGTACTGAGAATGCTATGCAGGATTTAAAAAGGTTTATAGTGCTTCAATTCCTAAGCAGAAAGATGCTTTTTCACCCAGAGCCCTCAAATTCCTGTCCCCCAGATATTTCCCCCGTTACTGCACAGTCTAATTGGTCCAAAGGTTGCGTTCAGAGACGTTTGGTTTGCAAGCAGACATTACCAAATGGAGGAAAATTAAGAATTTGGTTGGTGTGACCCCGACAACATGTGGAAATGTTGCACAAGCATGGGTTCCAGGGCACTAACGTCCAAACCTTAGGGCTTCACGAGGACCGCATATCTGCGGGCTCAGCTTAATATCTTTTCCAGGTCTCGAGGCCACAATCAAGATGGCAATCAATTCTTTGCACAGTGGGGTTTCCATTCAGACATTCTGCAGGGCGGGTGAGTGAAGTCATGTTTTCCGAGCAGTTTATTGTCAAAAAAAGTAAAAAGCGCAGCCCTTTTTCTGCACTGGTCAGAAAGTTCAAGTGAGGTTAAGCGGGAATGTTGTGCGATGACATAATCTGCAATCATTTTCACACATCGCAGTTTTTCCCTTGTAGTCTCCTGCCCCGAATCGGAACTTGGTTCTAGCGGGCCACACGTCCTATGCAGACCCAATGCCGGTCAGGAAGTGGGCCCCGCACTTGGGCTAATTCATTTTCAAAGGATGTTTATCAGGCTCGGTCGGAAATCACAAGATCCCAAAACACATCTTACGTAGACCCCCCCCCCCCCCCCCCGAGTTAGATTGTTTCTCTGGACTGCAGTCACTTCCCCTTTTGTTTAACTGTTTTTGTCCGCGTTTCTACCCCTCTCCCTCTCCTCCCCTTTGTAATGTCTGTGTCTCGTCTCTGTGTGGACTTTCTGTTATCGTTACTGTGCACCATTGTGGGCCCCCCCACCCCCACCCCACGTCTCCCAGGCCTCGCGAAGGACAAGGATGAGGATTGTTATGGCCACCCACAAGATACAGTGCAGTGTTACGGGCCTTGTGGCTGCGTGTGTCACGTGTACCGCTGCATGGCTTTGTGCTCCTCTCCACTTCTTTGTTAGCTCAGTCTGTTTCACCGTTTCATCAACTTATGGCCCCGTGTCATCCAGCTTAGTCTGTTCTGTATCTGCGCTTAAAAAAAAATGTGTTAAAGACTTGATGTTGTTTTGTTTAACCAACCTGAAATGACCCGGTCACGCCTCAAGCGTAGGCCCATGCATCAGTACGTACTCGTTAGAGTTTGCATTGCGTGCTCATAAGAAGTTAACACGCATAATCTGCGAAGGCTTGACCTCGATATATACAGTGGGTACGGAAAGTATTCAGACCCCTTTAAATTTTTCACTCTTTGTTTCATTGCAGCCATTTGCTAAAATCCAAAAAGTTCATTTTATTTCTTATTAATGTACACTCAGCACCCCATCTTGACAGAAAAAAAACAGAAATGTAGAAATGTTTGCAAATTCATTAAAAAAGAAAAACTGAAATATCACATGGTCATAAGTATTCAGACCCTTTGCTGTGACACTCATATTTAACTCACATGCTGTCCATTTCTTCTGATCCTCCTTGAGATGGTTCTACTCCTTCATTGGAGTCCAGCTGTGTTTAATTAAACTGATTGGACTTGATTAGGAAAGGCACACACCTGTCTATATAAGACCTTACAGCTCACAGTGCATGTCAGAGCAAATGAGAATCATGAGGTCGAAGGAACTGCCCAAGGAGCTCAGAGACAGAATTGTGGCAAGGCACAGATCTGGCCAAGGTTACAAAAGAATTTCTGCAGCACTCAAGGTTCCTAAGAGCACAGTGGCCTCCATAATCCTTAATTGGAAGAAGTTTGGGACGACCAGAACTCTTCCTAGACCTGGCCGTCAAGCCAAACTGAGCAATCGTGGAAGAAGAGCCTTGGTGAGAGAGGTAAAGAAGAACCCAAAGATCACTGTGGCTGAGCTCCAGAGAGATGCAGTAGGGAGATGGGAGAAAGTTCCACAAAGTCAACTATCACTGCAGCCCTCCACCAGTCGGGGCTTTATGGCAGAGTGGCCCGACGGAAGCCTCTCCTCAGTGCAAGACATATGAAAGCCCGCATAGAGTTTGCCAAAAAACACATGAAGGACTCCCACACTATGAGAAATAAGATTCTCTGGTCTGATGAGACCAAGATTGAACTTGTTGGCGTTAATTCTAAGCGGTATGTGTGGAGAAAACCAGGCACTGCTCATCACCTGCCCAATACAATCCCAACAGTGAAACATGGTGGTGGCAGCATCATGCTATGGGGGTGTTTTTCAGCTGCAGGGACAGGACGACTGGTTGCAATTGAAGGAAAGATGAATGCGGCCAAGTACAGAGATATCCTGGAAGAAAACCTCTTCCAGAGTGCTCTGGACCTCAGACTGGGCCGAAGGTTCACCTTCCAACAAGACAATGACCCTAAGCACACAGCTAAAATAACAAAGGAGTGTCTTCGGAACAACTCTGTGACCATTCTTGACTGGCCCAGCCAGAGCCCTGACCTAAACCCAATTGAGCATCTCGGGAGAGACCTGAAAATGGCTGTCCACCAACGTTCACCATCCAACCTGACGGAACTGGAGAGGATCTGCAAGGAAGAAAGGCAGAGGATCCCCAAATCCAGGTGTGAAAAACTTGTTGCATCATTCCCAAGAAGACTCATGGCTGTACTAGCTCAAAAGGGTGCTTCTACTCAATACTGAGCAAAGGGTCTGAATACTTATGACCATGTGATATTTCAGTTTTTCTTTTTTAATGAATTTGCAAAAATTTCTACATTTGTTTTTTCTGTCAAGATGGGGTGCTGAGTGTACATTAATGAGAAATAAAATTAACTTTTTTGATTTTAGCAAATGGCTGCAATGAAACAGAGTGAAAAATTTAAAGGGGTCTGAATACTTTCCGTACCCACTGTACATGAGCACTTTCTGCTGGTCCAGAAAGCTGCTTATGAAACCAGAGATCTTAGTGTTTCCCTGCGTGGCCCGACCGGGCAGATGGTACCTGAGGTGTTTGTTTACTCCTCAGACTCCGGCCAATGTGACTTTAAATGGGGAGAGCCCCGACAGCCTGTTGACACACAGATCGCCTAATGAACTTAAAGCTCTGATGATGCTGTAGACCCCAGCTGTGTGAAGTTAAGACCGTAGCACCACACAGCCACCGAACCAGGACCAGCCGGCCACAGACAGGAAGTGCGTTGTTGTAAGTTGCAAACCAAGCCAACTTTTCTTGCACTTTATCGATGAATTCAAACACTACAGCACCATCTTACCTAGTGTTAAAAACACACAAAGCCTTAACCATTTAGGTTACGAAATTAATATAATAGAGTGCTGCAGGAATGAGTCCTAAAACCAGGAGATGAGTCAGCCTTCCCTCGTCTCGAAGTCAATGGACTGAAGTCCAAGGTGTAAAGTGTGAAGAGGAAGGGAGCCAGAACGGTTCCTTGGGGGGCCCCCATGTAGCAGGACACCAGGTCAGACTCACACTCCCGTAGCCGCACATACTGTGGGCAGTTGGTGAGGTAGTCCAGGATTTATGCTGTGAGGTGGTGGTCCACCCCGGTCTGCTCCAGCTTGTCCCTCAGAAGTGTGGGCTGAATGGTGTTCAAGGCACTGGAGAAATCGAAAAACATGACTCACAGTGCTTCCAGCCTGCAGGTGAGAGAGGCATCTATGTAGAAGGTAGATCTACCCCAATGCCAGGTTGGTAGGCAAACTGAAGGGGGTCCATTGATGGGCTCACCAGGATGGACAAGGACCAGCCTCTCCAGGGTCTTCATCAGTGTCAGTGCCACCGGCCTGTAGCTGTTGGGGTCCTTGGGGTGCGATGTCTTTGGCATTCGTACCACACGGGATGTTTTTCACAGCTGTGGCATTCCCCCCAGCTTCAGGTTGAAGACGTGCTCCACTATCCCACACAGCTGGTCTGCACAGGACTTGAGAAGCCTCGAGCTGGCTTGTGATGAGGTGCTGATCACAGGAAGGGAAAAAAAAAAAAAAAGCTTCACACGCATTTGTTTCATTCTGGTGATGTTTTGGCCTCACAGGACTTCTTCAACATCAACAAGATTGCTGAGTGTGCGACACTCCCCCCCCCCCTACTTTCATGGCTTGTACTTTAACTTATGCTGTGTCTGGCATGTTACCGAAATACCTTCAAAAAAAGAAAAGTAAATTGAAGGTTTGGTCTTGTGGGTCTCTGTTGACTGACTGGGCTCATCCATAGTCAGTTCATTCACAGGGCTGATGTCTC